CTTACGGTTCCTATCCCCTTCATGTTTATCAATCGGATCAGGTGGTGATGGTGGTCCACCTCCCCCGTTCCCTCCGTTGCCATCTCCTCCATCCCCTGGATCGTCCCCATCAGGCGCATCATCGCCCCCCGGCTCGAAGTACTCCATCTCATCTGGGCCTAGTTCGGTCGGGGCATATTGATTGGTCGGCGCAGGGGAATTGACACTATCCATGGGATGGTTATCTCGGCGTCGATTATTGGCCTCTCCTCCCGAAGGGCGTTCCTCAGCGGAAGACCTTGCAACGTCCAACTCTTTCTTCACTTGAACTGGGACTCGATATGATGGATCATGATAAATAATCTCAATGCCATCCTTCTCATAAGTTTCAGTACCAGGTGAAGTAAAGCTAATTGGTGCTCTTGGAATGGAGGTCGGGCTACATTGGTTGGAGGTGCTGCGGGTGCAGCCTTGCGGGTCGGTGGAACAAATTCGAAATTTGGGATCTCCGTTGATTCATGGGTTCCGGCTGTCATAGTCATGGCGGCAGTTTCGACAATAGGACTTGGACGAACCTGAGCAAACTGGGAATCGAGCATACTTTGCAGTTTCAGATTGTGTTGCATCTGGGCTTGTACCATGCGTTCAAGCTGTGTAATGCGCTCATTCTGAACCCTTCTCTCTTCCTCAGCTGCTCTTCTCAACTCAAGGATCTCTTGCTCCTTACTTGATAGTGATTGTCGATGGTTAGCATCAATGACACGTTGATATGCCTGAATTTTCTCATTCATTTGAGCTTCTCGGAACCTTACGTGTTCGTGCGCCTCATGCTGTAAGTTCTCCCTATACTGTGCTCCCATTCTCAATACTTCTTGTTCTTTGGACATCATTGCATCTAAGGCCCTCTGACTTTCAATGCCCTCACGGACTCGCAATGCTTCCACCAATTCCTCAGTCTTTGCCGTGTGGACGGCCTCAGCGTGGGCTTCGGCCTGGGCCAATACTTCACGATGACGGAGTTCGGCCGTTGTTTCCACAAGGCTTGTCATAGCAGGATCATGTGCATGAAGGTGCAAATTCTGCTCGACAAAATTCACTTGAGGATTATCAACATGAACATTGTGTTGAAACGTATTATGAACATTCATCTCGTTCAATTGGCGAGTCGGTGGCCCACCCTCCCGAGCGGCTTGGGGGACAAAACCACGGTGACTGAATCCCACATGAGAAGGCACAACTGCGTTACTCAAATGTGGAAGGTGGCGTCGATCCCTTAAGCTTCTGGATTTGTCGGAGCTTGGTGGGGTGCTGATGTCATATGAGAAAGGTGAGTTGCTGATAGGTAATGTCCCCGGGTTAGCCATGGCTGCATCAGAGGTATCTAACCGCCCGGTGCCCTCGGTGGAAGAACCCGAGGGGGCAGACATTCCTACAAGGAAGAAATTAGCTTACGGCTGATAACCTGTTTTACAGGCGTCTCAACCACAAACAGACACAATTAGCACGCTTGTTTCTTGAGCCATACATGACGAGTATAATCAGTGAAACCAGTGAAAAACAAAAATCATTTTTAGCCAGCTACAAAATGGTCATTTTTCATAGTTATATCATAGTTATATCATTCCATTGTATCATAGTTATATCATTGTTATATCGTAGTTATATCATAGTCACTATAGTTATATCATAGGTTTGTTGAATATTTTATGGAGGATATAACCATGATATAACTATAGTGACTTTGGTATGTATTAACTATGGGATGTTGGGATGTATTAACATGATGTTGAACTATAGTATTCAATGGAGTTTATATGGGTTTATGAAAAAACAAACCAACTTATGTGCGTTTAAGCAACACTTATTAGGATTTGTATGGTGTATAATGGGATGATGTGAGAATGTGATTGGAATATAATTGGAATATAATGGGATAAATGTATTTCAGCAACACTAATGGGGATGTAACCAACAAACATGGTGATTTATAGTACATTTATGATAGCTAAGGTGGTTTATAACTCAAATAAGGCTTGGGTTTCTTCGGGATATTTCACCATACTTTCCCACCAGGGTTTATAAACCAACGGCTTATTTCATGATGCGTTCAAAGAACGAACGTGTGGAAATTCCATCACTTAAAATATGTTTGGATGTTTCAAGCATTGAAAACAATGGCGACAATGGGTCGGATAGAAAATCTGGATGTGAAAGAGATATACCCTCTGGTAAACTAACATAGCTATGGAAAATCTCCATTTTTAATGGGAAAATCCACTATAAATGGCCATTTTCAATAGCTTTTTGTATGTTTACCAGAGGGTATGTGCCATATGGGATATGCTATGATATGCTCATCCATCAATGTATCCATCCCATAAAGGAAACCGTGTGGAATCCGACGTGCCATGGTCAAGTTACCTGGGATGAAGGTGGTATTTTTAGCAGCGAAGCCAAACACTAGCCCAAACAGGAAATGCCCTCATGAAAATGGATAGATGAACATCCCCCGTGCCATCGGTATACAAACGACCGATGTTAGCGCGCATTTTTGGTGATTGTTTTTTCCAACCGAAAGGGTGAGTTGACCATAGTCTTAGAGTTTAACAGCCAAAATTGATGTGCTCACCCAAAAAAATCAGAAACCGGTGTTTTGAGCAGGACAGTAAGATGAAACAAAGGTAGACCCAGCCAGGAACGAGACGGGATCATCATCCAACGAATTGAAGATTGATCCTGTAACTTGGGATTGGCAGCCAGAAACAGCATGGCTTTACCGCAATAGGACTGGTATAGATAGTTCAAAGGTTCATGGGCCCCAGTTGCTACCCCTCAATCCCTGTTTCCAGAGTCATCGCCGGCTGAAAATATCAGGCAATATTGGTATTACATATTACTACCCTCCGGTCAACTAACATAGCTATTGAAAATGACCATTTATAGTGGATTTTCCCATTAAAAATTGTGATTTTCCATAGCTATGTTAAATTACCAGAGGGTATGCGATATACATGGCAGCCAGAACTCGTCAGAGGCAACCTCCAACCACTCTTTCGCCCTTCCAGGCACCCACACCGACTCCAAACTCTCCAAAGCACATCTCAAAGAGCGTACCTGGCGTGGCGGAAAGAATTGTGTCATCGCCCCGACCCAAGGCCTTTTGCAGGCCAGCCTTTTTCAAGGCACTGTTGTCGCACAGCCTTTTCCAAGGCCCGTTGACTCTTCGCAGGCCGACCCAAGGCCTGGGGCCAGGCCAGCCTTTTTCAAGGCACTGTTGTCGCACAGCCTTTTCCAAGGCCCGTTGACTCTTCGCAGGCCGGAGCCTGGGGCCAGCCTTTTTTCAAGGCACTGTTGTCGCACAGCCTTTTCCAAGGCCCGTTGACTCTTCGCAGGCCGGAGCCTGGGGCCAGCCTTTTTCAAGGCACTGTTGTCGCACAGCCTTTTCCAAGGCCCGTTGACTCTTCGCAGGCCGGAGCCTGGGGCCTTCTGCAGGCCAGCCTTTTTCAAGGCACTGTTGTCGCACAGCCTTTTCCAAGGCCCGTTGACTCTTCGCAGGCAGGAGCCTGTGCCTTCTGCAGACCAGCCTTTTTCAAGGCCCGTTGAACCTTCGCAGGCCGGAGCCTGGGGCCTTCTGCAGGCCAGCCTTTTTTAAGGTATCTGTTTGATCCTGCTGCACGTAGTAGCCAACCTCAGATGGAAACCATTCTCAACCTCCTCCAGAGTTGAAAAGCAAACCCTGTACCCACGGAGTTTGCTTGCAAGATGTTGTATCGGCTGGAACTAGTTGAATCAGATTCAGCTGTGATCATTAGAATCATTCTACAACTCTTCCCTTGTTATCTATGGTTACCCCCGATGATTTCTTGCTATTCCACAGTCATGTTCCATTCTTGCTGGCTATTTTAGCACCCAAGTTCCATCATCTTCCCCTTGGACCAGATCCCGTAGAACAGTCATCTGATCTGTGGGAACCTTTCCGAAAACCCAGGCAACGGTGTCCCAGCGGACCCCGACAAGCTAGTGGTCAGTTACTACTGAGGTCAGACACTGATTCATCAATGATAATAGGGGGAGTAACGTCAGCAATTGGGAAGACTTTAAAATAATGGATCAATAGTGGTTGCTGAACCCTTAGCCCTGTCATCATTGTCTCTTCCACAACTTCTTTGCTAGCTCATTTTACCCCTACAAAACAGGAGAAGCACAGGTGTCCTTCTAGGAAATGTACATGTACTTCGGGGCCGGTTTGGTAAATTATGTGCCACCATCTACCTATATCTAAAGTAGAAGTACATAATTTACCATCATTGTCATAATCAATGGGAATTTCAGGATCCTAAAATGGAGGTACTGTACCATATAAGGCCATATTTTGTGGGGATATTCCCTTACATAGGCCTTATATAGGCCTTATATCTGGTAGGTACCTCCAATTTAGGTTCCTGACATGGCCATTGACATAATGAGGTTTTTATAGGTTTGGTTGGTTGATCCATGGAATGTACGTTTTCGTTGGTTCATCTACCTACCATCTGGTTATGACTCACAGTTTGCCATGGAAAGAGCCACCATTTTTAAGAACGGTAAACCATCTATAAATGGGCCGTCTATACCGTGTCTATGTTAAATAACCAGAGGGTATCAACTATGAATGGTCATTTTCAATAGCTATAACTTGACATCACCATTAATGGGCGGCCATTTCCCATGGCTATGTTAAATAGCCAGAGGGTATATCTAAAGGTTATCAAATGGGAACATTCCATTGATCCACCAAGCAATGGGATATGTTTTTTCGGGACATCGGTGTCCAGCATCACCACCAGGCTATGCCAGGCTTAAAAGTCATGGTTAAAAAATAAACATGTCGTGAATGTTAACCATTTAAGTGAGTTGTCTATGAATGTTGTTAATATGATCTGTTCGTGGCTATATCAATGGATGATTTCCATATATGGTGAGTGGTCAATCTTGATATGATCAAAACTCCCTCCGGACCATTATGTTAAATGGTGATAGTAGTTTGTTTCAAACAATTATTGTGTATTAAAGCTAATGTTTGAACTGAGTCCTGCTCAAAATTGTTTGATGGGTTTCCTAGTGGGTTATCATAATACCCAATAAATGCGTTAATATAAGCCTCCATATTAACCCATCAATCAGGGTATTTAAAAAAATGCTAGATGAGTTACATCATATTACCCCAAAATGGTTGGTCAAATGAACTAACTCACTACCCTCTGGTAAACAAACATAGCTATTGAACATGGCCATAGAAATAGTGGATTTACCAATTAAAATGGTGATTTTCCATAGTTATGTTAGTTTACCAGAGGGTAACTGTGGTCAATTAGTCTAGTTATTCACCAATCAACCGTATCACTAGTTATAGTCTAGTTATTAGTAAGTATAGTCTAGTTATAACATCGTTGAACCAAGATCATTAACTGGATGGTTATAACCATGTTATAATCTAGGTATACTAGATTTCCATAGTTTCCATTATCAAAGTCATTACCCTCTGGTAATGACTAACATAGCTATGGAAAATTGCCATTTACCCAGCTACAAAATGGTGATTTTCAATCGTTTTTTGTATGTTTACCAGAGGGTTAAGCTCCATTTTCCTATGGTTTTCCTATAGTTTTCCTATGGTTTTCCTATAGTTGTTCCCATTAAAACCTCCATTTTCCTATGGTCTTCCTATAGTTTTCCTATGGTTTTCCTATAGTTGTTCCTATTAAAACCTCCATTTTCCTATGGTTTTCCTATGGTTTTCCTATGGTTTTCCTATGGTTTTCCTATGGTTTTCCTATAGTTTTTCCCATTAAAACGTCCATGTTCCTATGGTTTTGCTATGGTTTTCCTATAGTTGTTCCCATTAAAACCTCCATTTTCCGATGGTTTTGTTTGTCCCACAACTCGGCTCCATCCGCCAAACGGCCGCCTCAAAGAGATGCTTCCGTTGCAGGTGATGATAGCGCCGGACGCCTGGCGGCCAGGGCGAGCTCGCGGGGAAGATGTTTTTTTCATGATATCATCTGGGTAAATTATAATATTTCACTAACCTGAATTAAGGCAATTTGGGGATGATTTCCCTTATAAGCCATGATTCCAGTGAGGTCGCAGTGAGGTCGTTATAATTTACCCAGATATCATATGATTAATTAAATATATTAGTATTTAATTAATCATATACTACATTAATTATATCATCTATTGTATTTAATGATATCATCTAATACAATATTTCATAGCATAACATATCATATTATATCATATCATCATATGATATTAAAAATTATACTGAGTCTATGTGTTGAATCAATGCATCTAATCTTGATAATTGTTTTATACCCCCAAATCATCATAATTCATTGAGAAAGGGATATAAAAACCAATCATGGGAATCCGATGGGAATATTACCAGGGAATACCAGGGATATGATTGATATAGTTTTATCTATATATATATATATAATAATAGAGAAACAGGGGGAAAAACAACCAGGAACAAACAAGTTAATCTCCCCTGTCCCAAAGATAGACATGCGCCCCCTTTTGTACGAGGGCGACTTGAGCCAAGTAAATGGAAGGCTACTGCATTAAACCCCGACCGCTGGATTAGGGGATAATGCTTCCTACTCTATACATGGCTACACCTATAATTAACGCTTCTAATTATAGGTTGTCTACGGAGTTGTAGTTACTGTACAATCCATTGGAGTGTTGGTCAAATAGCTACAGCATGGAGTGAACTATTACTAGTATATACAGTGGTGGTATAGGGGTCGTAATATTTCTACTCCCCCCTACCCTATCCTACGCTGGCAACTAGTGTACAGGTTAGGGCGCTAGGCAGCAGCCCCTCCCCTGGGTTTAAGTTCACTACCTAAGTCTACTCTTATGCCTAATAAGCGCAGTGCCGGGGCCCACTTTTGGGGTGGCAACGCCTTCGTGAAAATGTCGGCGGCCTGACTGTCGGTTTGACAGTATTCGAGTTCAGCTGAATCTTCACGGAAGACTTCGGAGAGGCCAGACAAGTTCACTTTATGGGTGCGTGTGATGTGCCTAAGCTTAGGGGAATAACCTTTACGCACTACCAGGATGGTAGCTTGGTTATCTTCTAAAACTCTAAGCGTCACGGTGCGCCCTAGGAGAAGCTCCCAGAGTTGCAGGGCCGGCAGGCCTTCTTGGTAAAGGGAATAGGCCAATGAAACCACTTCAGACTCTGTTGTAGAACGAGATGTGGATGTTTGGCGTTTACTAACCCACGCAAGGGGGAAGAAGGAGTTAGGCCCATATAGAACTAAATACCCACCGGATGTGGATTTTCCACTAAGACGATCACCGGCGAAATCTGCGTCAACGTATAAACGTAACTCAAGATCTTCGGGATTATCTTTGATGGTACCCACTAGACGGTATTGGGGTGTAGAGTCTATGTATTGGATGAGTCTTAACAACCTCTTATCGTCCCCCCTGGACCAAGACTGCACTTTAGTGGCTAAATCGTTGATGGGTTTTATTATATCAGGTCTGGACAGCCGACCAAGCCACAACGCCTTCATAAGAATGCGGCATGCATTGGGTGCCAGTTCACCTTTAGCCTCTTCATCTTCAACAGAGACAGAACCATCAGGTACAAAAGGAGTGGCAGCATGCTTCAAACTTTTGGTGTTGGTGATGGACTTATAAAGATCAACTGTTTGGTGTGCATAATCTAACATGTCAAAGACTAAGGCTTCTTGTGCGCGAAACGCAGCACATTCCTCGGAACCCTCGGTTTTGGGCAATGGCATTACTAGATGATTGCGACCTAAAATTCGATATATTGGTTCAGGTGGTTCAATATCCACAACAGATGTCAGCTTTGCCCAGAAGGCATCATGTTGGTCAGTGGGACCAGCAAGCGTGAGATCATCTACGTAGGTGGAAAGCAACAACTTAGTATCTGGGAAAAAGAAGTTACCAGGGTATTCAGGTACCTCTTGGCCACCTAGGTTGCGGATAATTTTCTTTAAGTGCTGCTCCCATAGGCCACCGGCATCAGGATGACCATATAAGGCTTTAACTAACTAGGAGGACTACAGGTTTAACAAACTTATCTCGCCAATGTTTTGGTCTCAGCTCGGGCGGGAGTTCTATCCAGGTCTTGTACTTCGAAGACAGGAGTGCTTGAACGTAAGCCTTTACAGCATCGGCTGCAGATGAGCTGTTACCTGGCAGGGAACCGTATGCCAAACAAGCATTCAAACCTTGGACCGAAGTCGGGTTTGCCCCTAGCTCCTGGTAGACCGCTGCAGCGCCATGTTCGTCCTTTGCGCAGTCGCCCCTATAGACGATCCTGCCCTTCATCTTTTGCAGGTGCTGCGCAAGCTCGAAGAATTTAATGGACGCTATGGTCATGAGTTGCCCGAAATGAACGGACACTCCTGTGCGCTTGGCCTCGGCGCGTACATCTTCCTTTTCCCGAACGGAATCAAGTGACCACGTTCCTGCCTTGATCAGTCCATCGGCCTCGGCCTTAACAGCATCAAGGGCTTGGGGGTTGGATAACATCTCGGCCCTAGAAAGCAACTTAGTTACCATGGCTTGAACCTCTTTGGTGGGTTCACTGTTATCTTCATGCCCAAAGGCTTGTGACAACAAACGCTCATGGTCTAGAAGCTCCGACACTAAGCAGTTCACTGTTGGATCTGTTTCAATGGCAACTGCAAGATCCTCAAAACCAGCTAGTGGGGACACGTGTTTAAGATGTTGTTCAACTTCGCGGTGCTCTTGGGGTTCGGTTGAAAGTGGAGCGCATGGCATTGCGGGAGCATGTTGTTGAGAACACTTAGCAGGGTACAGCGCTTGGGTAATCAAAAATGCCATCTCTGGAGGAT